TTAGGACTGATTGTTCTTCTGGTGATTGCATCCTTCTCGGTATCTCTCCGTTGCTCTCATTGCTACCCTCCAACCTTATTCTTCCTTTTTACCATTTGAAATGCTCGATAACTGATATTTCCAGGAACGTTTCCAATCAACCACAATCGGGAGGAACTGGCAGTTGGTTGGGTCACTAGTTTTCCGACTAAAAACGAGTCGATGTCGAACACATTTGCAACGATAACGTATTGAAATTTTCCTTCTCTCTCTCGTTTCCACGAACTTCATCATTAAAATCTGATTTTCTAATTAGACCTGTAACTCTTCAAAAACAATTCGGTCCTTAGTAACAAATTACAATGCTCCGCATTACTCGTGCCAATGTACTGGTGTGTGCTGGCTGGCCAAATATTTTCATCTCGCTACATTGAAAACCGGACAATTCTCATCCATATATTATCAAGAGTTATGAAGTCTTCGTATCGAGCAATGCGGCCTCACCCAGTTTCCCACGTTACGAAATGTTCGCCATCTGTCAACCTTTAACCAAGCGGAATCGAACGGTGATTCCGTGTAACAGCGGATGATCTCTTTCTTTCACAGCCTGATAAATCGGAATTACATGTTACAATTGAGTGTGGTAAAATTTCTCGTTTCGCCGTCGGAAGCAACCGTTACCGAAAGCCGTAAAAACCAGTGAATTACGATCATCAAGTATCGTAAAGCCTCGTTGTTGTCAGGTGATCCTTGAATATTCGTTATCATTTCGACAGGAGCCACCAGGCTCGAGCTCCAGGGACGACCGAACGTTTCTGGAGTGGTGTGCACTCGAGTATAATTAGATGTCCCAGTTTACACGGCATCTCATTATGGAATCCATTCTGCCAGCCACAAAAGCTACGATACGTGCTTACATCGGCTGCCTTCCGCTCTCCACCCACTCGATAATAAGCTCACCGCCTTATCGAAATTAACCATCTGCCTTGCCGCGCTCCTCCGTGTTCTAAGCACCAAAGGTGCGGTTTAAAACAAGACGATCAAACGATCGCCTTTCCATTTGCTTCTCCTTAATGTTGTCTCACCGTTCTCTCATTCGTCCGCGTTTAAAACGTCGTGTGAATTCTTCATTGAGAATTCATTGTGTATACCGGTTGTTTAAAAATGCTTTCTCCAAGCATTAATTCTTGTATCAGTCCTAACACGCGAAGAAATTATGAATTAAAATAGGGTAAGAATCATGGTGACACGAGTGGAGATATCGTGCATTTCAACTCGTGTGAAGGTAACTCGTTCTCAGTTTTGTAGCAAGACAATAGACAATGAACACTGCCAATAAAATCGTAATGGAAAATCGTTACTAAATTGGATTCGACTCTAACGTAATCCAGAAACGTAAGTTTCTTTTTCTCGAAAAATCGAACATGTTCTAGAATGTCAAAGTGCCTTCATTTGTAATTATTTTGCACAACGAGATAGAAGAAATAGAAAAATACATTTTGATATCAACGTATCCAGTAAAGAGGCGAGGATCTCGCGGAGAATGGAATCCGGTGTAATTAGTAATTCACACTTGACCTATTAAAAAACGTGTCCATTCGCTTGCTACGAGAGCCATTGTACGCTGGGGGGGGTCATCAAAATAATCAGCTGCAATCAACCTTGTTCGTCGTTCGAATTCCATCTATATGATTAATAACACATAAAAATTCGGATTTATTGCAAACCGACTGAATATGGACTGGATGTGGAGATATTCTTTATAGATTTATTCTTTTATATATTCCGATGTGAGAAGAATACAAATTTGTTTCATCTACCGAATATTTTGTCTATTTTAACATGTGCATGCTGCATAAATTCCCCACAAGCGAATAAATATTTCTCTTCCTATTTTCGGGAATTCAATTGAAATCCAACGTAACTTTCAATCCCGTGAAGTTCAACGTACATCATAAGGGCTAATTAATTAATCGCATCGACAGGACCATTGCTCCAATAGTAGAGTATCAATAATACGATTTCGAAGTACATACGATCGATGACATCAGAAATCGTCTTTCGAGGGAAGAACACGCGTCATTAATTGGACAATCGGCACTCGGAGACGATGAAATTGAGAAGAAAAAAAGAAAAAAAAAAAAAAAAAAAAAAAAAAAAG